AATCACAAATGTTAACTACAAGCTTCTTTGTCTCTTTGTCAAGAGCAAGCCATTATAAAGCAGAAAATTTGAACACCAATATTGTATAATTCAAGGTCATCCAGAAGTTTCCAGTCATATACAACATCAAAGACACCACGTCATAGGCCCTGATGCAACCAATAACAAAATAAAAGGCAGCTAAGAAATGTATAAAGGATAATATAATCATATGAATAAAAGCTGGTAACACATTGAGCTACTAAAGTGAGCAAAAAAGAGAATAGGAAAACACCTTTTTCATAAAACCAATCTATATTTGCTTCTGAATCATACAATTTAGCAATTTCTGAAACAGAGAAGTGCAATTGGGTTAGTTGATGACACTGGAACAAGAAGCAATATAGTGTTTAATTTTACTACATTGAAGCCATAAACTGAGCCCATCTACAAGCTATAAATCAACTGCATCTTTGGAGCTGCAACTAAACATTTCAATGGCAATGAGACACAGGTTACTCTATATAATCTCAACAACAAATAGCATAGGAGTCTTGTTGAAAAAATTGGGATACCACTTGTGGATGGTTTCCACTAGCATTAAGCAACATCAATCTAAGCTTGCACATCTGGTTTGCTGCCAACTACAAACAGAACATGCCAGTCACATCAAACTCCACGGCAAACTAACCCAGATTTACCCGTGATACAATATAGCATATAAGCAACCAATGTTAGAGGCCCTCCATCAAGTGACTCCATCAGAAGACAGAGAGGAAGGAAAGTGAATCCAGAACCTGCATCCAGCAAAGGACGGGGATGAGAAACATTAACCTTTCAAAAGAAAGTCTCTTATACCTATAACATGGATGAAAAAATAACCCAAAATAGAGTAAGCTTAGGCCTCGGTTTTGATGGATAATCGAGTAACTAGAATTCAAAATTGAAAATCACATGTCAAAAATCAAAACCTCAGCTCCGATGGAAAGAAAAACCGGAATCGATAACACGTGAGCTTCATGGTGATTTGACTAAGAGAAGAGTAGAAAATGGAATCATAACACGTCAGAAGCACTTCCAGTTTCAGAGGCAATCTGTGGACGACACTGACCTTCAGCAACGCCTGAGCAAATTCCAGTGAGATCGTTGGGACCTGGCCCGCCGCCGTGTGCTTTCAAGAACAGGCCGTAGCAACTCTCATAGCCCAATGTCACCGATGAGACTTTCTCATACTGAATCCAGAGTAGATTCCCCTACAAATAGTCCACCAGCAAACACTGGGATAAAGAAAGTAAAGTTCAAACTCAATCATCCGAAAAAATTGGGGAAATTTGAAACCCTAGGAATTGAAAACGACCGCTAGAGTTCTCAATATTGGCGAATTCAAGGAAAGAAGAAGGTAATGGTCGATTCCTACTTACACTAGCATCATGTTGATTATGACTTGGTCGGCGTATTTAAGGAGCCTGCATAAGGGAAGGCGGGTAGTGCTGATGATGGGTTGGGCGGCGATTTGGACAGGGAGTCTCGTCTTCACCAGCTCCTTGAAGAGCTCGACCCGCAAGGCGATGACGGCTGAGACGAGGATGGTGGTGAGGAATTTGGGAAGGAGAGAGAGTGGTTGGTGACTGAAAAAACAAGGGCTTTTGATTTCTGGCGATGTGAGGGGCTGCGATTGATCTCTGGGAAGAAAGCTAGCTTTAGTCTTACCATACAGGTTTGGTAAAGTTAAAGAGATTGTAGAAACAAAAAAAAAATTGAAAATATATGGCAAAAGGAAGGAGGGCGGGACTTGAAAATTTTAAGCGCTGGAATATTGAGGGCTTGGCGGGTCAAAAGAATCACATAAGCTTTTAGTCTGGTATTTTAATTTTGTAGACTGATGGCGGGATAGCTGAAATTTTGGAATGTGATGGAGGGAAATTTTTTTGGATTGTGGTGGCTGGAAGAAAGAGCGGGAGTGCCCAATTGCTTGCCAAACATTTTGGTAAAGAAGTTTGAATGTTTCATTCTAACAAGATTTGTGATTGTGGAATTATTTTCTTTTGAATAATGGGAAGCCAAAATTATTTTTTAATCCTTATTGATTTTATCTCAAACTAGAAAAGATAAATTATCACATTATTCATGGTAATTAACTGTGACTAACAATTAGTCACGGGAAATGAAGATAAAATGCCTGTAAATTCATTACCGTGATCGAAACTATACTATCGATTACAGGAATATTTCCCGTGATTATTAGTATACTTCTTAATACGGTATAAATTCTTGTGAATAAGATCCCGTGTTTAAAAACTAGTTTTCCTGTAGTGATATCAGAAGTAACTCCCCCCTCCCCTACCAAGAGACCAAACACCACCTAGATTCAATCAAAGAAATTCGTCCCACTTATACACCATTAGGCCATTCAATTATATAGCAACATGACAACAAACTAAAACATTAAAAAGTATACCTAGGTGCATGACTATTATCTTCAAAAGCAACCATATATCAAACCTAAAGGGCTTCCCATCATTTTCGTAGTAACGTTCAACACCTCAACCCTTATTCGGCCGTCACCATCTTAATGCTAGTCCTCTTACCGGTCATCATACTATACAACTAAAGACTGTATGAATAACCAAATAAGGAGGAAATTCTATGATTGATATGCAAAAGCGTACAATAAAGGAAAATTCGTTTAGAAGTGGCAAGCCAATGAATATAAACAACAAAAATCTAGTGAGTTGAAGGAACACAATACAGAATATCAGAATAGAGCTCATCACAATAACCTCATGTTTCTAATTAGTTAAAATACTAATCAAAAGGCGAATGTGATTGGAAAAGGCCCAGAGCATTCAACGCAACAAAAGAAAAGGTATGGTTGCAATTAGAAAATTAACTTATAAGAAGCATGAAATTTGGGAGGCCTTCAAAATTGCAAAGAAGAACTAAAGGCAAGCAAAATTACATGGATGCATATTGGTTGCAGCCTCATACATGAACTGAAAATATAAATTTTATAACGGAGGAACATAATTATTTTCTATCCACATTTATCTAAAAAGAAAGGCAAAATAAAAAGAGCTGTTGAATTGACTTTCGTGAATCTGCGAGAGAAAACATACCATTCTCCATCAAAACCTCATTACTGGTCTCTTGAGGGGCAACTCATGTCAATTAACTCAAGAGGCAGCATCAGCAATTATAAGTAATTTGTAACTCTTTGGCAGTTTAAATGGATAGGTGTATAAAACACTCACACATGCATTCTGCTAATTCCCAACATCTGAACTGCCCTAGCAAGATTTTCGCAAAATAAGCAATCAGACAGTAGGACGTAAGTATACAGACTCCATTAAATCTAAAAAGGGGAGAAGAAATCAAACTCCTTACAGCAAGCACTATACAACTAATAAGGTCTCTTGAATGACATGATAAGTTTCTACCCTTCCCTAAGCCATCATTGCACAAACGTCCATTATTCGACGGAAGCTTCAGGAAATAATTGATCGAGTAGTTTATAATGTCAATGCTAACAATGAAATAAAAAATTGACCTGGGTGCAGAATCGCCCAATTGAAATCTAGAAGCAACATCAGCTGCAGCTTTAAGAGTATACCCAGACCCAAGCATGCACCATGTTGGATTCATTGAAAATGAGATACATGAATCGTTACTTCAACTTATGGCCATAAATCCTCGTAAATAACAAAAGCATTACTAAACTTGATCGCACCTCAACATTAGAGCTACGTAAGGTATCTCAAAGAAATTGCCTGATCCATTCATCAAGGCTGTAAGGAATCAGATCTAGATCATACACAATACCACCTACAACAGCAGCAGTATAAAAAAATGCAGCAGCGCCAATTAAAACACAAATGAAGCTAGTAAGAGAAGAATTCTGAATAAAGTGGCCAACAAAAATAGAATAACTACATAAGGGAACACAATAGCAGGCAGCAACATCAGAACTGCAGCACAACGAACACGTAAACACACACGAAACAGTAGAGGGAAGCAACCGAGAGGTTTGATGTAGGGCACTCTTTGACGATTCTACAATAAAGATGTAACATATGAATGTAATATGGAAGCTATGCATTCAATGTAAAAAAAATAGGAAGTTCGAGAATAAAATCCATGACAGTAGTAGTTCCAAGTTCAGACATTCTATGTAATTTTCTAATATAGGGATTCATATGAGAAAAGCATCAGTGAAAAGAGATAGCAAGCCAAATCATCAAAGAATTCCTGGAAGACAGCTAACCTGCTCACTTGCTCGTATTTCAGTACTCATATGATTCTCTAGTGCAAATAATGGACCTACCCATCCCGCTCCAACTGCAGCCTTATCCCCAAACATAACACATAAGTCTGGAAACAGAAAGCAAACGGTCTGCTAATTTATATTACTTATTATAGCATACCACTTATAGTTGAACAATATGTAGTATTATGGAGCATTGGGAAGATGATGTTGAGGAATATCACGGTGGTAGAAAAGTATGCGGGATTTGGCTCTAGTTATGAAACTATAAAAGCACTAAATAGTTCAGTCATGACTGATGCAACATTTTCCTTCTACATATGCAAACTGAGGTTTATATATACATGAACATAACTTGTTCTAACATTTTCTATCATTTCTGTTTGTTTTTTACCTCCTCTTTTATTTGTGCCATCGCAACCAACTTTCCTTAAAGGAGTTTGATATGTGGCATCTAATCCCACATTTGGATCCTGGTGTGCCAACTTGGAGGAGTTTTTTCAGGATCTGCACATATTTGAGAATAAAGGATTCAGAATCAAAAGTGGCAGTATGTTACAGAACAAACTCATATGTTCTATTCAACATCCCAAAGGATCGGTTTCATCAACATAGAGTTTTTTCTTATCGCCTACAAACATTAAAAACCCTTTTCCATTCATAAAATCTTCACATGTGTAAAGATAGAATCAGAGAAGCAGGAATTTAAAGTTCTGCTCTACCTGTTTCGGTGATGGAACTCTGTCAAATCAAGCAACCACTTAACTGTGATAATCACAGGCGGTCCTTGCTGTTATTCAGACCGCTCACAACTCTCTCCATTGCAATAGCTTTACCAATGGGAAACCTGCAAGTCTAAAAATCCATTAGCATTCAGATTTAAAAAGTGATGGCCAAGCATCGCAATGCAGGTATTTCAAGTAAAGAAAACAAATCAGAACCCACCCAAATGGCTGAAAGTCCATGAACATGTACAAACTTAAGGCAAGCATCGAAATGTCCTCATCTCTCCCAGATTTACAATTCTTTGAAGCTGTCTTTGTGGCACCAATTTCGCAGCTGGTCGACAAACATTGCAATGTCCTCCCCAGCCCCCCCCCCCCCCCCACACACTTACATTTCCCGGAAGTTGACTCTGTAATGTTTGTTTAAGTGCATCTTCTTCAAAAAAAAAACGAAGGTAAGGTACATAAAACAATCTCACCTTTTTTTCAGTGCACCAGGCCCTTCAGGTTTCTTGAAATCCTCTTTGAAAGAAAGTTTATACTTCCACTACTTCTATCCATGTTGATACCAACTGCACCCTGATTCATGTTATATGCATTAGCAATGACACCTATGAGGAATTTTGCTAATCAGACCTCTACATCATAATTTACACATCTCATTTCGGGGGTGTTAAAACTGACTAATTATTATGAGAAGACAAAAAGATCTTACAGACTTCTGCAAGTCTTTTTGACCAAGTTTTTGCTTGGTATGCAGTGTAACTTAACATTCATGTGTGTACTGTGAGATGGAAACAAAGATTACGGAGACCATACTGAAAACAACATACAGTGTCATGGTCTGCCTTTAATGAAAAGAATTGTAGAAAGAAACCCAGTCCTAACAATAGAGCTCTATGTAGCATAGTGCAGCAACCATAAGTTGCCTTGAATATAGACAGGTTATCGGTATTTGTTTCAGCAACCTGTTTGAGCTTGTATATGTCAATGTTTCATTTGGAGAATAGAAAAGCAAAGTAACTGTAAGCAAAAATACATAATGAGCAACATATCACAAGAAAGGGAAACACAAATTTCAAGCTGAACAGTGTCAAAGAGGCATGATGCAAAAACATAGCATGCGAGCCTCCTCTAACCGGATTAGAAATAAACATGATCAAACACAGTGAGATTCATTATGTGCTACCTAGCTAGATGAAGCAACACCGAAAGTCAGAGCAAAAGAAAAGTTTGTTGCCTTGCAATGAAATCTAAGGAGAGTAATTCCAGAAGTATATTTTAGTTCACACTTAACCATTTTGATTGTTTGAGCAAATTCCAAACATAATAGTTCATTCATAATGTATTACCTCGGTAGATAAAGCAACACTGGAAGTTAGAGAAGAGGAAGAGTTCGTTACCTTTTTTGGTTTCATCAGAGTGATACACTGGTTGAAAGTTCCCTCATACAAAAATCGATCCTACCACGTTGCACCTTTCCCCCAAGAGTGATTCATACATCCACTAATCAAAATATGTTTGCTTTGAAACTTCAGTTGCATTGCTCCTACCCGATCTCGCAGAACATATCTAACTTAAGCAAGCAAAATCTGTAAATTCCATCATAGAATCTGTGAGGCAAAAAGGAGTGGAAGTGTTGACCTGCAAGGATCAAATTATGGATGGGTGGCATAGGGAAGGAGCAGAGAAGACCAACATTGCTCTGGTCTTTATTATTGAATCCACAATTGCACTTACATCTTGAAACGGTGACAGCCGGGAGAAACAGAACCTCACTTTCCTTCATTGTTCAATGATTGCTCTTCCCTCCTAAAAGGAAAAGGTTTTTTTATGAGTGATGGAATCAACAGAGTGTACTACTGGTCGAAAGAGGCATACACCAAACAAAAACACTGCAAACAAATCAATAAACCAGTGAAGTTCAACACTTACAATTATGTTATGCAAAAGCTCTTTTCTGGAATGGTCCTTTCATGTTTAAAAAGCTGATAAAGATGTAATCTTTCATTCTGTAAGCACTCTCCCACACCCCTGAGCACCAATACAAATGATTAGTTGACCAAAACTCGAGCTGGTTCATAAAGAATCTTACTATTAATGAAATCCAGAACTCCAAAAATATACTAAGCAAACAAAATGGAAAAAATGATGCACCTGCTCTTAGTAACTTCTCGAGGTTCCTATCATTTTGTTTTCCAGTGGATGATACTGCCATCTTTGTGGCTATTTCTCATTTACCTATGCCCATCTCCTCCAGATCATGTTTCTGGGAGGCAACTACCATGAGACTGAAGTCATGAGTATAAAAGATCAGGTCATATAATGCGATTTAAAGAAAGTAACAGTCCGTAAGTAAAGGGAACTGATCAATAGTCTGCTATTATTATAAACACAACCCCAGTAAGAAAATTGGTCTTATACATGCTGTCGTAGCTCACCATACACATATTAATTGGTTAGAAAACACATAAACACCAATATCGTCTGAAAGAAACTGCGGGTTGGGGAGCAATTGACATGAAAGATCATTTTTAATTTTTTTAACTTCCTTTTTCTTCTACTCTGAGATTCCAATAATACGCATCAAACTTCTATTTCTATAAAATACATAATGCTACGAATTCGAGATTATTTGCAGGCTAGGAAATCTCACCCTTTCGTAAGTTGGATCCAGAATAAGATTACTACAGTTCAGCCCATAAATCCTCAACTGCATGCCTGCAAACCACATGACAAGCACAATCATTTGGAGTTGTACTGGCTTTCTTTTGCTGTTTTTCGGTGCTGCTATTTGGATGAATCGTAAGGGTTCATTTAAGAGGTTTATCGTTTGCTATAGGGGTCTGTTCTGGGTTTTGTTAAGTAAGGGAGTAGGGATCAGGGTCGTTTCCTTTCCCTTTTCTTTCTTCCTTTCTCCTTGTATTAGCGTTTTATTTTCTTTTTCGTTTCTGGATCATCGCTTATGATCCGGGTGGTACTTGGAAACTTATTTTGGTTTTTTTTGCAATAAATTTTCACCATTATAAAAAAAAAGCACAATCATTTAGCGTGAATCAAAACAATATGCAGCCAAATCAGGATCGAGGAGAGTACACCCACAACCTGCAACAAACTGAAGCTAGAAAACCATTTAGTTAAGATCCACAATTCACATCTCTTACACAAGATGACCGTGGCTATGCTTGGTCGAGAGGCAGCAGAAAAATAAACTCTAGTAAATCTGTAAACCACCGCAAGATGAATTAAAGGAACTGGAAATCAACCGGAAGGAGGACTCTATAGGAAATTGCAGAAATCATTTTGACAGATTATGACAATAATGCAGAGCAACTCAGTTTCCTATATCCAACCAACTTAATAAAAACAATAGATTGAGACACAATTCCAACATGGACTCTTATACCCTTGTAAGGGCAGGCAAGGAGAAATAAATGCTATATATACTGTTGATAGAGACCCTAAAAACAAAATAAAAAAAACATTAATGATCCAGAGAACCAAAATAAACTTCATAACCATCCAAAAGCAATTGTTCATCTCGAAAACAAATAAACTATTCAAACTACTCTATTGATTGGAATACAACCATAAAAGATTCCAAAGTATCACTACTGCTTAAGACTTCAATTCCTCTACCTTCAAAACTCCAAAAGAACATGTATAAACCATCACCATCACAAGATGATGTTACTGACCTGCTATATGTTGCATAACCACAAAATCATACTGTTGCATTCTGCTTAACCATACCCAAGGAATATGTATAAGTGACACGCCAAAACACAACACCAAACTGCGACCAAGTGTAATCGCAGTCCGGGAATGCAGTAACAGGCAAGTTCTATTATCAACCCGGGGTCTAGATCTACTGCTTACTCCGTGATTATCTATTATCTAGCCAACTAATTCGATTGATTGTTGTTTAAAGCAAAAGCAGTAAGAAAGCAGGAAATGGTTCGATTTTCAAAAGCAGGAAAGAGTCACTCGGGTGTCGTCCTCCGCACTTGGAAGACCAATCCCAGCAGACTTTGAGAGCTTCGTCGTCGCCTTATACTTAAAGACTTCAACAACACGCCTCACATGTCCCTTCCCAGGGATAGCAGATCCAGGTCTTCACCTCTGGACGAGAGCCTTCTCATAGTCATCCTCTGCCTGCACCTTCATATTCACTTGAACTTTACGTGAAGGGAAGGTGTTGGGAGAGTGAGAAGATAAGAGGTCATCAGTAGCCTCATCAAACAGTACACCAAACTACTCCATCTCCGAACCCCATTTTCGACCACTCATCTTTGTCTCCGTAGCAGCTTCTCTTCCTCTTATTTCATGCACTAATACCTTAGCCTTCCCCTGCCTCTGTGTAGGTATGCACCCACTACCATCATTCCTGCCAGACTCACCAGAGTCACACACAGAATCCGTACAATCCATCTTCAGTGGTCCTTCCTTGGGATGTCTCCCTCCATATCGACCCTTTCCCTCCATGTACGAAAAGCTTCCATCCCTTCTCCCCAATGAATCAGGAGAATTATGTCTTCTGTTAAGCCCTTTCGACTCCCTGGGTAGCTGAACCATTCGGTCCTTCTCTTCAGTCCTCCTGTGCACCCTTTGGATCTTAGGCGGTTTAGCCATCACGAATCCATGAGGACTTATTCCTTCATTCCTCTTGTCCTCCTTGTGCCTTCCCTGGTAAATGGAATCCCTTGTCTTCTCAGATCTCCTGGTCGAGTCACCTGCATGCTTCATAGGAGGAGGCTTCACAACCTTCTCCTTCTGCTTACTAGGCCCATGTGTCCAGCATCCTCATTCCTATAGCCTCCGACTTGATCCAGACTAAACTAGAGGCGCCATATAGCAATCTGTTGTCCTCCTCTTTAGTCGACATGTGTGTCCCAAAGTTCTCCTTCCCTTGTGGGGGATCAAAATCACATGTCTGGAAGCAATGTCCGACACGCCCGCATTTGAAGCAAAAGCTGGGTAGAAACTCATATTTCAAGCAAACCCAAAAACACCCAGTTTCGTCACTTAAAGCCATGATCTGGGAGCAGAGAGGTTTGGTGAAATCGATGATAGCTTTCACCTTAATGAAATTCTGTTTCTCAACATGGCAGGCATAAACCCCTACTTCAAGGACCCTCCCAACGGCCGACTGGATCATTGTTTGCCCAAATTTAGGGTTACAACAATCTTCTTTCACATCCCAGAGCTGAATATTGAATGGAGCAGTCGCCATGTCATCAAATATG